ATCTTTTTCAAAAGGGAACAAATGTTCTCAGTGAGCAGTTCAGAGGTTTTGCTAGGATGTATTTAAACTAGGGGGGTGGGCAAAAGGGTGATAAAACATCAATCCAATTGCCCCCCAAAACAAGGACAGAAGGTGCCTTTAGCAAGTGTGTTAAAAAAGGATAAGCCATCCATGAGGATATTATTTCCTAAAGGTTACCGTGCTAGCAGTAACTGTCAATAATGATAATTTATCTGTTCTCCGATTTTGCTGCTGTACGCTAACTTTGCAGAACAGCATACTACAGAAAAGTGACATAAATAATTAGACATTGCAGTCTGACACATGGAATGATTTATAGTGCAAATTCCAAGTAATAAGGTGTCACAAGTTAATTGAACATACAAATGAGTGTATCTTTCTAAAGCATATGGCAGTAGTGTAACATCTGTTGTGCTGACCTTTCATAGAATCTACATGATTAATACACAGACAATGTAAGCGCAATTGTAAACTATTATGACTATATTATCATATCATAACTTTATAAAGTTAGCAAAATGAAAGGATGAATGGTTATGTCACCAGTCACCAATGGCTATTTTAACAAGTTAAAAAAGGTTTTGATAATAGGCTTGAGAATATGTTCTTTTGTGTTTTGTAGGTTAATTGGGAGTAGAGATCATAATCAATTCTTCTGGAACAATGAAGTGTTTTCCTTTTATACGACTTTTTCCCCTATAAGAAATGTAATTTAGTTTCTACCAGCCAAAGTCCAAGTGTTTGCAGACTTTCAGTTCTATTTATTTGCAGCAAAGTGTCAGGAATTCTCAGAAGAATTTCTAATTTTAAGACAAAATTAATGAATTGGAAAACAAATTCTTCAGTTCAGCTATTCAGTTTTCAAGTCAGGATTGTGGCCTTTAAAAAAAGTAAATACACATATCCTATGTCTTGTAATAAAAAAACAAACAAACTATAGTGACCCGTGAAAGAATTCTACAAAAATAATATGCTATACACATTCCCTCTTCATTCCAGGTCAAATTGAGTAATTATTTACTTGATAACAGTTGGAAGTTCATTCGCTTTATCGATCAATTAATACAAAATTTATATAAATAAAAAAATGTTCTTGTAAAATGTAAAAAGAAGACTTGATAATTTTGATGATATTAGCCTGTAGACAGATGCATGCTTTAAAAAAAAAAATAAAATAAAAAATCAGACTTCTTTTTATCCTGTAGCTATACCCCTTGCTTACAGGTTATCTGCTCACAACCTGTTTTTGATTCTTATAATCCTGAAGACTCAATTTTCTCATTCAGGTATATAAGATTTATATGCATACACAAACATGGACGAGCATGTTCATTTTGATTTATGAACCATAATTCCACTTTTGGCGCCACGGTGCTTGGGGTAACCTTCTAATGCTAGTACAGGGACTATTTCATTACAAACATGTGCTGTTTTTTCTATGATGCTAATTTCATCTATAAATTGCCTTAACTAAAGAACAAGTGCATTTATTAAATTAAAGTTATTTTATTTAGTGTAGCTATTAGTACTCTACTATGACATCCGCCAGATGTTCACCTTGATTTTCATTCTGGGCTGTAGATTCCCATGCAGTCACATGTCTTTGTGTGGTCATGCACGAAATATCCACAGATGTCCCACGTGACTGTCATTTGGGGCTGGAGAACTCTGGGCAGTCACATACATTTGTGTGGTCCTGTAATCCACCAAATATCCATCAGATGTCCACACTGCCTGCCATTTTGGAGAATTCTGTGCACAGCTGCTCACATGAATTTGTGTGGTCACTTTGGATCTTAAGGTGAGTACATTTTTTAATGAAAACATGTGCTAGTCTTTTTTTTCAGGACAATGTATACTTTATGAGTTTTTTTAAACTAAATTAACCCTTTGTAGTCGGATGTCTGACTATATCTAGCAAAATATTTTGCCACTTGCGGTACAATGTTTGATTTTTCTTAGAGAGTACCGCTGATCCTCCATGCCGGGGGCCATTTAGGTCCACGACGCGCAGAGGGTAGGAGGTCCTAATTGTGGAATGCATGTATGGGTTACGTTGCATTCCACTGGAAGTTCACAGATTGAAATCAAATTCAGGTGTGGATTGTTAAATGAAAAGAAAATTAAACCTTAGTGGTAGTTTATTGGACCGCAAAGGTTGAAGAATTGTGTAAAGCTGACTAGGGAAATAATTTTTAGAGATAAACTAGATAAACTAACCAACTATACTATTTTCCAGCTCATCTATGTTGTCCCAAAGGTCAGTTCTCTAAAACTGTTTTTGTATATTAGTCTTCATGGTTATTATGATTTCATTCTTACGCAATAAATCAGGCGTAATCGTGAATAAAAGATATTGCAAACTTAGGAAAATATATTCATAATAGAAAATTATCTGAGGTGGAGAAATGTCTCACTTTGGCCGAAATTTGCTTTTCCATGGTGAATTAATGAAATTTCCAATTTAGTGAGTAACCTTTATTGGATATACTTGCATAAAGGTCAGTCAACATGCTCGGTGGATTGTAGTGTAAATTGATGTGTATCTCAATATTAGGTATTGTTCTGGACACATTGTAGTTAAATGTTATTTTTTTTTGCTTTTTGTTTTTTGCTTTTTATGTTAAACGTTTGTGCAGCTTTTGAAGCCAAAAGAACAGATATTTCCTCTATGCATTGGCTTGTATCTGATTTTGTATTTTGTGGTTAAGCCTAAAAAAATGTACATTCCAACTTTTACTGAATTTTCATAATGCCTTGGGCTTTGATGCCTTTACCAAAACACAGTTCAGGTCAAATAGCTAGAAAAAATACAGATGAGTAAATCTTTACAAATGATATATCTGACAGTTTATCTTTTGGACACTCAGGACACATCGTAAAATGAACACTTGAGAAATCCAGAGCTACAGATGCACTATGCATTAATTCATTTGCTTATTCATCCATTTGTAAGCATTTTAAAGCTACACTGTGACATTGACGCTGGGGTTCTGGTGGTCGGAGAATGCAGACGAAGGTGAGTTTAACTTACCTGAACCTGTCCCTCTCTGCCACAACCCACACCATCCGTGACTGGATACATCATGATCTGCCTAAGCTCACATCTGAACCTAATCCCTTTTGTTTTCACCTGTGTTCTACTCTTCCTTAGCAGATATTTTCTTCCCGCGTTCATGTACCACCAGCTTAATACACCATATTAACCTCAACCACCTATGAGATATTTTTGTAAAGTAAGATGCTTTGTTTTAACTCAATCTAGCCATCTCTACCTCTATGACCTAGTTCCCTTAAGGCACCGTGTTATGCTACTTCCTTTAGTTTACTCCTCATACTTATGAAAACTGTAAAATTTAATGTAAACGTGCTAAATTCCCCTGGTAAATGGAAATTACTTTTTAAAGATCACACTGCATTGACGTTGCTTGTATTCAAGAAACACACTGCACTAAGTTTTTCCCTACCCATTTGCATGCCCTCTCTGACAGTAAAACTAAGGGGGTGTCCATTGTATTCATAAGGATATTGATTGTACACTGCAAAGACCATTTATTGACCCTCACAGTCGTTTTATCTTGCTACGGGGTATGTTTAATGATGTACAATATACTTCTGTCTATTTCACAAATATTGACAGTCAGAATTTTCTCCATTCCCTATTATGTAAATTCGATGAGTTCAAGTAAAGGGGTTTATTACTATGAGGAGACTTTAATTTCATTCAGTCCCCTGCGGTAGACACCTCTGCCAATCGCACAAGTGTCAGAAAAAGGCAGATGATCTCTACATGGAAAAACCGTGATTAAACTACTCTCCCTTTGTGACCTTCATGATAGTTGGAGGGTGCTCCATCCCACAGAGAGGAACTATATCTTTTACTCTCGGGTACACAACACATACTTGGGTTAATACATATTTTTTAGATGATCAAATCTTGCAGCAGCTTTCTGGGACATATACTTGTTCGACCATAGCCTGGTGTTCTTACATTTGCGTAACTCCTTCCAATATCGAGGTAAGGGAACCTGGTGTTTGAACGAGTCATTGCTTATGGACGACAGTTTTGTTGCAAATATTGATAGAGTATTACCAAACTATTTTGCTTCCAACTTGGGACAGGGAACCTCTGAAGCATTAGGCAGTGATTAGGGGATTGTTTATTTGACGCTCTTCCTATATTAAGAGAAAATAACAGAAATCTGTTCTGGAGTGCTATTAACAGATATCCTCGATTTCTTCTTTAAATAAAGCTAATCCCTCCCCTAAACTAGCGACTAAGTTAAAATCCCTGTATCAGCCGCTTACTGAGCTGAATTCTGTTAAGACCAATTATTTTTTCCATGGCCTCTGCGCTAACTCTTATCACACTAGTGTAAAAGCCACTAGAACCCTAGCTACTAGACTTAAAGCTAAACTTGTTACCTTCCGAACAGCACATATAATAGGAGAAAATGGGGATAAAAAGAGAGGCCCTCAAGCAATAAGCCAACAAATTGCCACTTTCTATTCTTCCTTATAAACTTTCACTCTGATGCTCGGGCTCACATTACCACATTACAGGACATTACTGACTATCTTGACTGGATTAGATTACTGAAAGCTCACTCCTGATCACTTAAATGCCTTACTCCAATCTATCTCATTGTCTGAAATTCTAGACGCTATTAGAATGCTGCCACCTGTCAAATCGCTGGGAGCTGACAGTTTTTCAAGCCCGTACTATAGAAAGTTTGCGAAGCCCCTCATCTCCTTACCATTTATGGTCTCTGTATTTCTATTTTATTTCATAAACATTCTATACCACAGAGTAGCTCCACAGCTTATCTTACAGTCTGGGAAGGTATATATGTTAATAGGAAGATACCTCCACTTTGTAAATCGATCTCCATGTGCTACTCCATACTATCAAACTACGTGCCTTTTTCAGGGTCCAAGCTCTCACAACACTGGAAATCTCACTTACAATGCGTGATTGCCACGAAACAATGAGAATATATGATCAATAACTCTTGCTTTACTTACATAGTAGAAACCTTCAAGGTCAACAGAAGGTAATACTCCATGTTATCTTAACAGCTCATCAACTAATTGCATGCTCTTGGAAGTCTCCTTTAGCCCGATGATCTCAGAATTACTTTCAGAGCTTGACAAACCACAATTCCGAAAAATTCTTTTAAACCAATTTTCTCCCTTTCAAACCTTTTGGGATGCAGGGCAATTGTGGGACACGTGGAAATCAACCTCATGTTAAATTTTGTAATATTTTTGAATGGCGTGATTTTCTTGATTCTTTATTATATATCAATTATCATTTAATTACCTTATACATTAGCTCTAACGAATATACCTGTAATTCTTGTTCTTCCTCACCTCTGATACTTTGCTGTGCTTTGTAATTTTCAATGTCTTTTCATGCTCTTTACGGATGACTTATACGTATAAATAACTGTAAAAGTTTTTAATTACTTAGATGTATCCATTTGACTGTGGGATGTGTGACGCTGAAGCAATATGGGCAAATTATTTTAATATTTTAAAATTTCATGCACTATCAATTACACTTTGATAATAAAAAAATATACAAATATAAATTGATAGTAGAACATTATGCAACAAACATTGATTTGATAGCAGTTTATCCACAAGGATTAGGTGTTGGATCAACATTCCCTCCTCCCCCACCACTTCCTCCACCTCCCCCACTGCCACCTCCTCCATCACCACCTCCACCATTACCACCCCCTCCACCTCCTCCATCACCACCTCCTCCATCACCACCTCCCCCATTACCTCCACCTCCCCCATCACCACCTCCTCCATTGCCATCTCCTCCATCTCCCCCATCACCTCCTCCACCATTACCACCCCCATCCCCACCTCCTCCATCTCCCCCATTACCACCTCCACCATTACCACCCCCTCCACCTCCCCCATCACCACCTCCTCCACCATTACCACCCCCATCCCCACCTCCTCCATCACCACCTCCTCCATTGCCATCTCCTCCATCTCCCCCATCACCTCCTCCACCATTACCACCCCCATCCCCACCTCCCCCATCACCACCTCCTCCACCATTACCACCCCCATCCCCACCTCCTCCATCTCCCCCATTACCACCTCCTCCATCGCCACCTCCTCCAATCTCGCCATCACCACCTCCCCCATCACCACCTCCCCCATTTCCCCCATCACCACCTCCTCCATTTCCTCCATCACCACCTCCTCCATTTCCCTCGTCACTATCTCCTTCATGGCTGATATCACTATTACTTCCATCACTATCTCTCGAATCACTACCCCCTCCATGGCTGCCTCCACTATGGCTACCTCCCCCATGGCTACCACTTCCACTGTCACTATCACTCCCATGACTACCTTTCCCATGGCTATCTTTCCCATGGCTACCTTTCCCATGGCTATCTTTCCCATGGCTATCTTTCCCATGGCTACCTTTCCCATGGCTACCTTTTCCATGGCTATCTTTTCCATGGCTACCTTTTCCATGGCTATCTTTTCCATGGCTATCTTTCCCATTACTCTTTCCCCCTTTCTTATCTTTTTTACCACTACCTCTTTTTACCCTAAATATTGCAACATCACCATCACCTACTCCATCATCCCCTCCATCTCTCACATATTCACTGACAAGCATTGCTCCATATTCAGCACATATGTGTACAGGCTGAATAAGAATTTCACTTGACTGGCAATCTCCACGACACAACTGGTGCCAGTAAATACCTTTACCTGTATTAAGATTAGCAAACCTGCAATTGTCATACCACCAACCACCCCCTCCAAGGTAGGCACAATTTGTCCCTGATAAATCATTGTCCCGATCACTGGTTGAAAATCTCATGTTGTCATGCCCTGCATTGGGTTCCCCTGAAGTCATAGCATCCCCAGCATTTCCTGAGTACTGGCCAAGACGAATACGATAACAATTGCTTTCTGCTTCAAGCCAAAAAGTGTCATAGTTGGCTGTGTAGACTATTCCTGCTGATGTGCGCAATCTGAACTGGATACGGTGCAACTGCTGCTTCGTCAACAAATGAATATTCTCATTGCCCAACCAAAAGTCTTCTCTTATGTCTCCAAATCCCCTTTTGTAGCTTTCCCAGGAAGCTTCCCATAGCCTTGGGTTCTTTTGGTTATTTTTCTGTATTACTGTCCATCTCCCATCATTTGATTTTAGCTCACACTGTACGACTAGCTGCCGTCCTGCTACTGGTTCCACCATATATAGGCCACTCTGACTGCTCTTTATTTCATTGCAACTTGTTGGATAATTTTGAACTGTGAAGAAAAAAATAATTTTGCATTAGCATAATCTCTACCACATGATTTCCTATTTGGTCTATTTGTCATAAAAGTCTATGACCGACTGTTTTTCAAATATGCTGTATGTGAAACTATGACGTGAGAATTATATAGATCGCTTGTTTCGAATATTCTCAATGTATGCAATAAATACACAAGACAAAAATAATTTTGTCACGTTGTAATAGTCTGATAAGTATTCAGTATATCAGTATACAAATAAGCCCCACAGTTAAAATAGCAACAAATGCGTAATTAGGAAAGGTCAATAACCAGCATTCATTGTGATTTAAATATAAAAAAAAACTATTTATAAGAATGAGACATAAAGATTTTAAATATAGCCAAAAAGAAAGACAAAAAGACAGCACTCCAAAAACCTTAGCTTGACAGTTGTTGCGGATCAAGAATGCTTTCTAATAATAAGTAAGTATCAGACTAATGTCTAAGAAGCCTGGTTATAAAGATGCACAAAACTATAACGCCATTTATTGTACCTGTTTAGTCTCTACATTCGACCAGGATAGTCATAAGTTCCAATTGCAAGTGACTGTATAAAATAATTTTAGCAAAACCTTTTAGGTAACTAAAAGTTATAATTCATGATACTTTGCTGGGCAAAGCCAGGCAAAGTACACAAATGAGGTAATTATTGGAGTGCCGAACAAACAGAGTATGCATCCATATGGATCCTTAATAGAAAATGCCAGTTGCGAATGTGCACAAATGGCATTTATCTGCTAATTGCTCGCGCATGCACATTCACACCGAGCGCATCATGGGACACCAATCTTGACAAAATGGCAAAGTGCAGCAGAGATAAGATTTTTAACTACCTTTGCTGCTCTGTTCGTGTCAGTAAATTCTGATATAACATTTACTGGAGCGAAGGTTCAAGTTCTGCTTTAAAGATACATAGTTAATATCTAAAAATTTGAAAAAAAAGATCATCACAAGATAATTATAGGACTTGAGTTTGTTGAAGGTTCAGCAAAAAGGACAATAGTTAGTGGGAAACTCTTAAGGTAGAGTGACCAGTTTTTTGTCTTATATCTTTAAAGAGTTCTGCGACGATCCCCATAACAAAGATTGTCCCATTGGTCAATTAAATAGCATAAGATCAATACGGAACAGAAAATGTTTTATACAAATATAAAATGCAAAAGTGTATATACAGATAAACTGGTGCAATAAAATAGCAAAGCATGCAGGAGAAATTATAATTTTTTTTTTCCTGAACATACAGAGCTTTAAAACCAATAAAATGTAAAATATTTACCATATAATGCCATTTTAAAACAGAACGAACTACATATACAATTTCACTTATTCTGAATAATGATTTGTATGTGTTACAAAGTTTATTTGCGCCCATAATATCAGTTATCCTGGATAAAATAGGAAATTGATTTATCTCTAAGGACATTTCCCCAGTGACTATGATAAAAATAAAGAATAGTCATAAGCAACTGCCATTTGTTCTTTTTTATTGATCTGCCCTACTTTCTAAAAATAATAGAAAATTATTTTGTGTTTCAGTGGTTTGGCAGCTCTAATTAGGTTAGCAGTTGGTACTCACCATTTCTTCCACTTTGGTAATTCAGAATGTCATCTTTGTTTATTCCATTAGGAAGGTGATTATTTTGAAGACTGAGAGCCACAGATTTTTGATTTCCATATATAACAGCTAAAGTCCCTCCAAATACCAACCATAGAAGAGATCCATGCATTCCTTGGACCCCTACAAAGAACACAAAATTGTGGGAAATTAAAAAAGCTTAGTTTTCATCAAACCCTACTAAGTCACAAAATGTAAAAGCTACTAGGATCAAAGTCTTTGACCAATCAAGTATTACCACTTTCATATTTAGAGGAATCTGACTGTCTGCTATTAAAATAAAAAATGTAATGTACTAGAATACTATTTTATTTTACAGCTATTTGCTTTTCCAGGATTTGCCAAGGATTGAATAGGAAATGAATGCCATTGGAAACACACTTGGCTACATTTCCTGATCACAAGTTTGACCTACAATTTGCAGTCATCTAGTGAATACCCAACAATTTCCAATCTAGTAAACAACTGTCAGATAGTTCAGGAAAATCATAAAATCCTTAAAGGAAGAGGCTGTAGAGATGATGGTGGCAGTAGTGCCCTTGAAACAGTAGTCCAACTGTTTGACAATGGTTTGACTTTTTATCTGGGGTCTGCCTTAGGCACCTCCCTGCCTCTTCTTCACCTGGAAGTAGTCAATGCACTTCTACATGGAGCGTTCAGCATCTCCATGTAGTGCGTGGAGACACTGAATGTCAGTCCTGCAATCTTTGCAGGACTTTACTCAGGAAGTCTCTATAGTGGCAGTTGAAGTGACAACCACTAGATGTGGCATTAGGCAGCACAGCAAACATTGCATTCTCTCAGATAAAATGGGTTCTGATACTTCTTTCAGATCTTTAAACTTCAGGGGCTGGATTCTCCAAGTAGAGTAAGGGCTTAACGTTTTCTCAGCATGCTGAATATCAGTTTCTCAATTGAAGCCTATTGGAAAATAGCTATTCAGTAGGCACTTACTCTGATAAGAAAATCCAGCCCAATGTTTTTGGGGAAATTTTTTTCATCAAGGTGGAGCAACATGGTGCCTTCAAACTATGACTGTAGACAGCATCTATACTCCTGCAACACCAAGGGTCTAAATGACCATGATGTAGTTGCCGAAAAATGAGTAGTGGGCTGTTGTTTGACCATACAGTCAGATTAGTATTGTGAAAGAAATTATAGTAGGGGTTAGATATAATAAAGAAACACTCCATGGACCACAACTTCGACTCAATGCTGTAGTTTTTATGATTCCAGGAGTGCCCTGGCAACCCCCAACTGTAAGTTGTGTTAAAACGGTATTAACTGGCACAAGCCAAGCACCAATCTTCTAATCAGGAGCTACTGGGCCTGCCCATTTGCTGAGAGCATTAGCTGCTAAACTTTTGTCTGCTGTGTCATTTTGCTATCTTTAGGGATCAGGGGTAACGTAACCTCACATCTTGGGCTTCAACCCTAAACACTCTCCCACAACAACACCTGTTTATAGAATACATTTTAAATATAAGCTACACAGAAAAGTGTCTTCCTAATCCCAATATCCCAATACTGGAGATTAACATTAGAGGACATGATCTTCTCTTAGATTCTGTTACACGTGATGTCTTACCCATCCTTGTCCAAGTGAAGCTGGTCTCTACATGTCACTGACCCAGAGATTATTTATACAGACTCGGCACTAGGAGGGAGTTTACTTATTCATCAGCACAGCTGTTACCCAGAGATAAATGATGTTTAATAACTAGGTGTGAAGCATAGGATGTCATGTAACAGACAGTGTTCCACGCTTTGTGTGATGGTTTGAGACTAAAGCAGGGGGAGAAGTGATTATGCATTAAACAGAGACAGAGCAATAGAACAAAAACATTCGAGAAGATCTACAGTACAGAGAAAGAGATCACTGGAAAGCAACATTTAACTGCAAGTAACACACAAAATCATATTCTGAAAGATACAGCATGTATAAATTCAGAGATGTATCCGGAATAACACATACGTAATATCACAGCATTAAAAGGAACAAATATGCTTTGGACCATTCAACCATTGGATTTTCGGAGCAAGAATTCAGCTCAAGTGACAATATTTTGTCTGCTTTATTATTATATTGCCATTACAGCCCTCAACTACATTATTTCATAAGACATGCTTGCGCTGCACAAGCATCAATAAGGGCATTCAAGCTATACGAGAGCTCTTTGATAAAGCACTGCACATAGTCAGCCCAGACTGAGATTGGCACATAAAATCATTAAATTATTAAAAGACTCTAAGTTACCTTGCTAGATGATAAAAACATCATCAATGTAGGATAGGTTGAGGTCCTAAAAACAGGAAAACCAAGGAAAGTGAAAGAGGGGAATATAATTTGCAGTCTTCTGCCAGATTCTGGACTGTTGAGATGAACACATTTAACCCCTTAAGGACACATGACATGTGTGACATGTCATGATTCCATTTTATTCCAGAAGTTTGGTCCTTAAGGGGTTAAAGGCTTTTAAGTCCCTCAAACTAGCAGGAATGAGTATCAACAGTGTATATTCCCTAGTAACCATTCTAATTCATTGCTCACTGGTTCTTAGACAACAGAGAGTTCTGTTTAACGCCCTGACCAGCCATTTCTGTCACTCGCACACTGTTGCAGTGAAATCTTATTTAAATAGCTCGATTCTTATTAATTAAAAAAGATTAACTGCTTAACCTCTAGTGCACGGAACCCATAGTGTGGAACTCACTCACCCCTTGATAAGGGAAGGCCTGATAGGGGCCCATTTGATATGAATACAGTTAAACAGAGACATGGTTAGTTACTAAACTGTGACTTGAATTGAAAAATTCTCCAATAGGGCTTTTTTTTTTTTTTTTTTTTGCAGCTTGGCTGTTTTGTATTTAGCATACAGTGAATTTTGGTGAATTTTAAACTTTGAAAAATTTACAATTTGAAAAATCAGACACCATGCCAAAGACAGAATTGAAGATTTTTTTTCCATCTTTAGCGTTTTGCCCTAATAATTTCAGTTCAGTATGCAAATTGCAGCAGTTAACCATTTAGTAGATGCCCCCCTTAGTTGCAGCACAAACATCAGATTATTATAAGTTGCTGTAATGGATAACATACCTGTAAAGCATGAATTTGTTAGTGTGACACACCAAATACAACATAACTATATAATCTTCCTCTAAATTACTTCTGTATATCCAGCATCTGTTTTACTTGTGTCTGTGTCATATCTTATCTACAATTCCACCCTCTAAATAAACAGGCTCGCTATACTGAGAAAGGCATACGTGAGCATTGCAAGGTCATCATCAAAAATAGGCGTTTCGTGTTTTCTTATTCTCCTTTGTCTATTGATGATTTGAAATAGCTTTCAGTAATAATTATGTTTTATTATATTGTATGAACGTTGAAGTGTAAGCAATAAATAATATGTTGTAGTGAGGAAAAAATAAAAATATACAAAAAGAAAAAAAATCGGAAATAATTCTCTAACCCAGTCTTTAATCCTTATAGGTACGTTGTTAAAGCACCATAACTCTCTGCCATCTAGATGAAGTTCTTATAATGCCTAAATTTGTTCCCCCTTCCTAAATTGCCCCAAATCTCAAAAGTTGATTAATTTACAGGCTTGGAATTGCATAGGCCGAGTAAAATTAAATGGGCTTGTTGCGGGGCTTGTTGATGGATTACTACTTGGCTCCTAGGTTGCCAAAAGACCTAGAACGTCAGCCAAAGCAACATTTTAAGAATATGGTATTCCCTGGATGTATGATGGCAATTGCAGGCAGGGTCAGCTTTAGCATATGTCATACTGCCACAGACCTACTTCTACAATACCCGTTATAGCCATCCAATATTGCTCATAGTCAACCATTCCCCAAAACGGCTCACATCCACACATTTCTCAATTTCCTTTACAATTGCTCAAAATTCCACAGAGCCTATCTCTTCCCCAATACACCCGAAAGCCACCACATTTCCTTAACATTCTCCACTGTTGGGGCTTCTTGACCCGTAGAGATACTTTTTTGCTGCATCCAAAACCTGACTCAGATTCGATTGTTACACCATGGAGCATGGCATGCAATAATTCAGACAAACACACGTGTGCGCTGAATAACAACTTCCGTTTATTACGTGTTTATGTATTATATTGTTTATATAGGATTGCAACAGAATGTGAAAACAAGCTTCTTAACCTTGAAAGGATGCACACAGAAACAAAGGATTTACAATATTTTGTCATGTGCTCAAAATTGTTAGATACAAAAAGTGCTGTTAGAAAGAACGTTCAATCGGGTTAGCCTTGAAGTTTTATTGTGTCTAGTGAAACATGGCATAGGCAAGTCTTCCATCAGATAGATGGATATAAAAATAATTTATTCTACAAGTCACATGTTAACCCTTATACTGCATTCTTTGCATTACTCCTTAGTAGAAATAGGTCAAAGGCCTCCAGGAGAGTAGAAAGCTGGACTATTCATGGTCAGAGATCTTTACAGACCCTCAGAAATAGACTGGTGACAACAGGATAGGAATGTGTTATGGTTTATAATGAAGTAGTACAAAATATTAGTTCATCAGAAGATTAATTCTTACTTGCCCTTATAGCATGGTGTATTAACACTTTCATTTACCATTATCCAAAATCCTCTACAGCCACTACCCTCATCCCAACATCTTCCAAATACAATTATTTATATAGCACTACAGTATTCTGTGGCGCTATACAATACAAAAGCCACTCACCTCCCCAATATTACCTACAGCCCACGTTGCCAGATTCAGACTGGTGGAATACGACTCTCCTTAAACAATGTCTGATGTTGTGTTTATGCGTCTACCTTGTGTTTGGGAGCAGTGGAACACCAGGAACATTGCACACAGATTATATAGGTCATTATGCATACCTCTTGATTTGGAGAACCACTTTCCCAGATATGGCCAACAGCTCACCTTGTACATGGCAAACATCTGAATACAAACTAGGAAAGAACCACCACCAACATCTCCTTTCTGGATAGGTTTTCTACATCTGTATCTGCTGCTGAGTAACCAATACACATGCTCTTTTTTTTTTTGCTATCACATTGGTATTTACTGCTGCCAAAACTTCATTACTAGTTATCTGTGAAGGAAGTAGTGTGAATATCTAGTTAGCGAAAATTTCAGCTTGGGGGAGTGGGTGAATTATTTGTCACAAAAGAGATTTAGGACTATAACGATCCCCGTTAAGCAATATAGGCCCCTGACACCACCCATAGCTGATAATTGCAGACAGGTGGGTATGATTATGGTAACCAATGAATTTCTGCCACACTTTTCATGTTGTGATAATTCCATGTGGATTAACAGTAAATGAACTGCTCAGCCAGAAGGATTTATACTGAAAAGCAGGTTTAAAAAAAGCAAATATTTTTATATATCTACTGATTGATATAAAATGATTATGCCTTTGTTTTGTGTGGATACAGCCTTTTTTATTATCACTATTTCCCTTTAAAAATAAATCACTGGTAATTATAAACACAGGTGGACAAATTGTAGCTGTAAAAATGACTACAATCATGATAGAAATAAACGTGTTCTATTGCTAGGTTATATTTCCATATTAGGCTCAAGGCGAGTACAATTCCAACCAATGCAGGTATATAACGGTAACAAACAAATAAAATGCAATCAGAATATCAAAAGTACAATACAGTGCAAAACATAATTAAAGAAATGTTTACTGCTTATCTGTGTTACCTAGAGGAACGCTGAAATAATAATTGGGGTGACAACACAGGTTGCTGAATTTTAATTAATCAAATTGCCACATTGTTCATGTTGGTGTTATTCTAGTACATACCAAAAACTTGTTAGGTTTGTTTTATTGCACATCGTATTAATTTGTGTTATTGCTTTTCATATCAATAAAAATGATCTTTTGGTGAGCACAAATTCTTCTAGTATTATAAATCTCACTCCATGTAAAATAAACAAATATTTTTCAATTATTATTTTATATAATACATTGAGAACATCTACACAATGCAACAAAGCTAACAATGTCCTTTGAATTTCAGGGACGAATCTAGTAGCTTTAAAAAAAAAAAAAAAAACTCAGCGAAATGAAAGACTTTAGATTTTCAAACACTCGCTTTCATATTCTTATTAAACCTACCATATTTTTCCATGTTTAAAAATGTTTAAAAAAACCCAAAAACATTTGTCTAAAATTGGGGGTTGTCTTATGCACGGAATGTCACTGCAGGGGTTAAAAAAACAAGACGCAGGGCCTGACAGCCAACCAAGCTAGTCGCATGTGGCTGGAGCTCCTTTAAAAATCTAACTATTAAGCCAATACAGTAAGTACTTACACAATTTGGGCACAAAATTAGCTACTCACTTACAGAACACTCAGCTTACTGTTGGGTTCTCTACTGCCAGGTTCCTGTGGGCATAGGCTGTGTTGTACACCTCTGCGACCTGCTGACATGCTTGAAGCAGAGGAGGTTCTCCTCCGTGAATTAGATCGACTGTATGCGCGGGTCTGGGAGATCTTGCGCAACCGCATGCTTCCTCGCATCACTGTGGACCACGCCAAGAACTCACAGCTCCGGACTACAGATAGACACCGCAGGGTG